GTTCCAGGTCTCAGTCCCCATCTCCCAGGAAAAGGCCAGGCTGGGATGAGAACAGCCAGCTCTGTGGGTGTGAGGGGTGAACTTTCCATCCCCAGCTCAGTCCTGCTGTGCACAGTGGAACTGCTTTCTAGAAAAGTAAATTCCACTTCCGGCACGGACTGAGTTTTCCCAGGGATGGGTCCCAAATAGTCTCATCTCTCTTTCCACTCCAAGGCCAGCTATTTTTTCTTTCTCTCTCACAAAAAACCCCCATAAAAGTAAACCCATCTTTTAACAAAAAGCCAAATCCAATGGAAAACAGAGAACTATACACACAACTTCTTTCTAGAAAAAATGTAAGATAAAATATAAGTCACACAAAATAGATGCCTCTGATACTGGCAGACACTTGGATATCCAAAGCTGGAAGATTCTGAAAGCATTTCTGCAAAACAGAACTACTCCTGCTGCCCAGGGATATGCAGCTCATCAGTCTCCATTAGCAGTGCATCCACAGAAATATCAGAAACATATGCTGCTCCTTTTCTATACTGTCATTTGTCTCAGCTGGACTCTCTTGAGAATCTTTGCTGCAAATACACACAGGAAATAGGCATTTCCTCACACTACTACTTCCATGTGCACTGCTTCAGTGTGCTCCTTACCATCCTGATCCTGAACCTCTACAGTCTTTCCCTGGAAATAAAATCTTATATTGATCCCAGCCCAAGGTAGGTATCTGTATGTTTATGATGGTTTAAGCAACATTCAGGGCCAGGATCTTTAAGAAGAGTGAAGGGATGGTCAAAATCAATCAGAACTAGATCGTGGGATGATCTTTCCTGCTGTCTCTATTTCTCCCTTACTTCACATTACTGTTGGCAGGGTTCACCCTACGCTGCATGCAACCAAAGTGAAAGGAGTGCTTGAAACTAGTGAAAACAGCTTTGTAACCTAATATATGAAGCACTGTTTAGAAAGCCCATTCTGCTGAAGAAGCAGAAGTACAGAGAAGGCACAGCAAAACTCAGGTTACCCACAGTGAGTCCCTTCCCTGCACTCACACCACTGTGTTCCTACAGCTTCCTACTGACAACTCTGAGAGCTTAAACTTTCACCATATATTTGTGCCCCAAATTCAAGTCATATTTTTTAATTGCCTATTCTGCTAATGGCAAGCTTCAGGATCTAAGCAAAACAGCAAATTGTTATTAGAAGTGGAGAGAGCAGCAAATGTTCCTGTTTACATAAGACACAGTCTCTGCTGATGTCACCTGAGGGTCACTGGTACCAACCATTAAAGGGCTTCACCTTGTCTGCTGAACTTTCCTCTCCTTCTTAAGCCTTTCCTTTCTTACATGTTAAGAGAAACACTGAGAATAAAAAAGAAAAAACACTTTCCATTAATTTCTGTACCTTTTGCCTCAATAGCTCAGTGCTCATGAGTAAATTTTGAAATGACAATGAAATTTCCCCCACTATAACACAGCAGGGTCAGAGGGTTAAATATGTGACCTAGTGAGAATCCTCTGAAAAAAAAAAAAAAAAAAAAAAGAAAGAAATTAAATGTGTTAGAAACCCTGGAAATCTCTAAAGAATGTTCCTCTTTTGGCAAAGTCTTTGAACATTTTGCAGTTGGTAGAAATTAAGCAGCTGAAATGTGTAGCTCTACTCAGAGGATAGGAAGCCCCAGTAAGCTGAAAGAATCAACATCTAATTACTAAAATATGCTGTGTGATCCAAAAAAGGCTTAAAAGCTATTGCACTGTGTAGCTCACTCAGCAAAGCACACAGCTGGTCTGTAAGAAATAAGGAAAACACATGGCTTCTGGAATAGTTTAGAAAATCAACTGTAAATCAGAACAGATTATTTAATCAGGAAAAGGGAAAAAATTAAGTTGAGAAGAAAGAGGATAAATCAGAGGAATACACAGATTAATCAACAATTTATAGTCTCATCACCAAGACACTACATTGTGAGGGGGAAACCTGCCTAATGATTAAACAGTAAAAAGCACAGTGCTGAACTAAGGAAGTATTTGCATATATAGAGTTTTCCTTAAATGAAGTGCAGAGCAGGGAAGCAGGTACACAGAACAGCAAGAAGACAACAGCTTTTCCTTTTTTATTCTTCCTCCAGGCACTAACAAAAGATATGATGTCTGAAGGACCTTAATGCTTTTATGAATAGGGATGCCTTCCAAACTCAAAAGGCATTAAAATGCATTATTATGATGAATGTCCTTAATTTCATTACTTGGACAGTGAGTGAAGAGTCTGTGGAGGACAAGAGGATTTTGTTCATTTAGTTGTTCAACATTCATATATTTTGCATTGTATAGCAATGGCCATGGACAGATCTTGGAGCACTTGCCCAGTGTTGGTAATTTAAAACATCAAGACACTCTTGTAGAAGTTAACTTGTATTCTCTTATCTACAAAAGAAGGCTCAGGAAACCAAGGTCATTAATTAAAGACAGGACAAAAAGTTCATTGTTCACCACAGATTACTTACACCGAGAGAAGCATCCACTATAAAAGTCATCAGGTTAGGCTTATAGAAAACATGATTTAGCTTGGGTCTGTTTGTTTAGGAGATATTATAGTAGCATGGAAGAAAACTGAAGGACTCTACAGCTCAGAATTCAAGCTGTGTCTCTGTAACACATCAGAAACTCTGATGTTTATACAAACTTCTGGGGACTGAATGTCTCATGGCCATGTTTCCTTACCTATTCTCCCTCTTGCTTCTTTTTGTGGGTCAAGAGCTGCTTCTTAAATTCATTTAAAAATAGATTACATGAATATATCAGGAAATTTTTCTAAACTAAACCTTGACTTCAGATGAGTTTTGATCAAAACAAATAGGAGATGGAGTGAACAAATCAGATGTCCTTAAACTACTGTCAATCTTGTTTGTGGCTATCAAGATGATTTTGCCATCACCAAAGCCAGCATGTATGGGGAAACAGAGCTACCAACTGGTTTGTGAATGAGTTGAAATATTCTACTGAATGTCTTAAGATTTTCTTTGATTTTAGTCATATGATTGGAGAACTCTGAAGAGAAAATGTCATTTCCAAGTCTAAGCAAACAAAGTGAAGATGAGGTTTTTTCTGAAAACATGTGTGGGGAGGGAGGTGTAACAAGAATAATCTCTCCCAGTACGAGTCTGGAAAGTGTCTCCCTCCCAAGCTCAAATGAGGAAGCTTCCAGATGTTACACCTGCCACCTGCTTTACAAGTTACAAAGAAAGCAGCTGTCCAAAGAGAAGAAAATGTAGAAACTTGTTCACAGCATTAGTATTTCCCAGGTAATTATTTTCTTGTTATGTTTTAAACACATGCATCTTCTATATGAAATTCAATTGTCATATCAAGCTATATGCACATACAAGGTAGAACTGAGAGCTGACTTTTTATTTTAAGTGAATTTTAGTTTACAGTTTAGTGTAACTGGAGGTAGATGCAATAGTAAATGATTTTCTTCCAGTGGTTTCAAACAATAGTCATCTATGAACATTTTAGGATATACTACTGGGGGTTGGAACCAGTTGTTTAAAGCTAAGTAAGTCTACAAACACATGCAAATGAAACAACAACAAATAAATTACAGCAGGTTCTCTGATGATTGTCAGTACAGTGTAGTGCAGGTCTTCTCAGAAAAAAGGCTCTTTCAGTGTTGTCAAAATAGTAAAGTTACCGCAAAAAATGCACCTTGTTTGCTACTTGAACAGATACAAAATACACAGACAGTATTACAACTATGCTGTTCATGTTATTTCCCATATAATTCAAAGGATCAAACTCAAGTTGAAGGGAATTCCATGGCAAAAGAGTCCATAATCTGCTATGCACGAATACATTTCTGATCCCGCAGGCAGGAGTTTCCTTCCATGTAACTGCATGAAAATGGATCCTGCCATTGTCAGGACTTTTGCCTCAGCCAAGTCTATCAGCCTCACTTTCAGAGCTGTTAAATTTGCTCTTTTCACTGGATTCCTTTGTGGCAATACTGGAGGCTTCCAGTGACTTCAGTTCAAAGTATTTTTTAAAATTACACTATTACTTGGCTGAATCAATGAAGAAGTGCTCACTAAGCTGTAACTGGGGATAAACACTAATAAACAGACAGGACCTAACTATAGTTTATTAACAAAATTTTGTAGTAGTGCCCTTTCCTTAGAATTCTAGATTTGCAAAGGAGCAAAACCACTCTAGTGTGATATAAGTGGAAAAAAAATATTTTTAGAAACAAAATGGAAAGTGTTCATAAATTAAAATCTTCAATGCTCTTTCTTTTAAAATTCAGACAAAATTTGTTGAATAGATGGATCAACCAAAATACAGATACTTCTGTAAACTGAAATACTAATATAAATCTGCACATGACCACACACTGCAATACATCACAAATAGATGCCCCAGAAAAATCAGGTTACATGTTTTGTGTTTCCTTGGTGCAATTTCTTGCGAGTAGCATAAAATTTTGGTATCAGTTAGTGAACAGATTTAAACAGATGTATTTAATACATCTGTTTATTTAATTACATAAACAGATGTATTTAATTCAAAGACCACAACTGATTTTACTGAAACGAGTGGGACTCTTTAAAAACCCAAAGAGAAGACTGTCCCAATGTCCTCAGCTCAGCAGGCTGTAACATTCTGCCTCTGGCAGGATTGAATTCCTTTCAGGAAATGAAAGATACCAAGTAATAACTGCCATCATTCTCACCCTTCCCTATGAGGAACAGAAAGCTTCCCAAGTGAAGTTTATGAGGAAGTTGCAGGCAGGTCTCTCTCATCATGCAGATGTGATGGTCCTTTTAGAGTCAACAGGCAGGATTAACATTTGACCTCTAATATACAGAAAATACAATAAAACTTGCACTGCTTTTAAAATGTACTTCCTGGCCCAGGAACTGTGAATCTGCTCTGTAATGCACAAAATGTATTCATTTTCATTTGTTTTCCTCTTAGTGAAAACCCAAATGTAGCATTCAATATAAATTTAATGACTTTACATATCAAAGTGATTTATATAATATTAGAAACTTTACAAAATAGTACTAGTCAATAAAAAGATCAAGTTTAAAATATTTACATGTTATACATCCTTTACCCCTACTTACAATTATTAAATAATCTCCAGTGGTTTCCTTAATTTTAGGGAAAAGCTCTTAATAACTAAAAACTAATTTTGAATTACTTTCAAATGGCTTTTTACTTAAACAGAATTTTAGCAAAATCCCATTTCCAATGTGAAACACTATCCCCGTGTTTTCAGTAGCTGTTATATACATCTTGTGTTTTATAGCTGTTCTGTAATGCAATCCTATAATAAACAGTGAAGATCTAAATAAGAAAATGGCACAGTATGGATGGAAACATTATATTCCCAACCCTTAAATCCCTTTATGTCATTTGGCTTCTAGAACATCTAGTTTTTTGATAATTTATGTTATTCTTCCAGTATTTCAAGTAACCACATCAACACTTATTTAAATTTTTGTGTCATCATCTTTTGAAAAGTTATTTCCTGAAGGTACTTCACAGAGACTGTCACCATCTGTGCTGAAATCATCGTCATCGTCGTCGTCATCATCATCATCAGAGTCAGCCAACACTTTACTTGGTGACTTCTTCAGTCTACTAAAACAAAAATACAGGTCTTTGCTATTAAAGCAGCACATCTACACGCACAACATTTATACAAAGCTCAAAACATCGACTGGCAGGATTTACATTTTTAAAGGATGTCAAAGAAACTTGTGCTTCAACAGGGATAGTTTTTCATGGAGTACACCTTACGTGAAAGGAACGTGCAAGACAGTGAAGAGCAAGCAACCGCATTTTCAAGCATCTCTAAATAAAGTAACAGACAGGGGAAACTGTTACTGAACTGGGATGTTCAAAGACAGCTGAGGAAAACTAACACAGGGTAACTACACCTCTGGCATTAGCAGGAAATTTTTATTACCACAAGCGATACGAGTGTCAAGTCCCACACTTTTTTCCATTTTATATTCCCTGCCTCAATGACTTTATTCAGCAGGGAGATCTTGGGACACCTAGAGCACACTAAAGAGAGCTGGAGAACATCTGCAGAGAAAGGAAATGCAGAGGAGTTTCACAGGTCTATGTCTTAAACTCTGTCTGCTTACGACAAACTGGTAGAGAAAGCCCTCAGTTTATGGACCCCAGGAGCAAGAGGTCAAACCTGGCAGGGGTGGTGTGACACAGAACTGTAAGGTCTGACAAGTCATCCTACCTTAACTCCTTCTTTGCAGTGTTAAGCTGTCCTTGCAATTGTTCATTTATGTCTAGTTGCTCCTCAAGTTCTCTCTGAAGTTTCTTTTTAGCACTTTCCAGTCTGTCTATTTCTTCTTCAGCTTCTTCAACTTGCCGTTTCATTGCTTTCAAACGCAAACTCAACTGAAATATTTACATGTCAGCTGATTAGAGGACTGTTTTAATTAAAGGAATTTTATTCTTCCAGCATCTATGAGAGGGAGAATAAAGACAAAACTTTGCCAGTGTAGTGACACTAATGCTCTGCTTCAGAAATATCTGAAAGTCAGCATTAGACTTCAAGAGAAATGATGGGATACCATACTTCTACAGATAATTTTTTTAAAGGTAATCCTCTTAACAGATGTCTGTAATTTGAAACACACTGTTCATGGTCTGGACAGAACACTAGTGTTTAACTCGTGCTGAAACAAATCAAGTTTTAAGCAAGGAATCAACAAAGACCACAGGAATGGCAGAGCACGTTGCTGTTAGAACATCAATGTATGCTTAACATTTAGAGCCTATATTTAACAATAAACAGCTTGTTTCTTAAACAAAATGTTATGGTGGCAAAACAGAACATTTTATTGGTCTATTTACAGGATCAATTACTGTCTGTTATCTGCTTTATTTCTTAAAATAATTATAGCATTGCTTCTACAAGTGCTTTCTTTTCATAATTTCCAAAATGAATAACCATTTAGTACCAGACAAAAGCACATGATGACAATGGCAAATCTCACTCAGTGGGAGTTCCCAAACAACAGAGTAATCAGCATCTACCTACATTCTTCTCATATCTCTTACACATGATGATTTATGTTAGTAGGATTAATATTAGATACTGGTATATTAGTCTACCTGGTCCTTCTGATCAGTCAGTGACAGATGTTCATCATCTACTTGCAGCATTAACTCCTTCACTTTTCTCTCAAGTCTGCGGTTACTTAGTTGGAAATTCGCTCTATCCCTAGGAAAAAAACCCAACCAAACAAAAGACAGGTTTGTAAAAAAGGAACTTAAATCCAATCATGATATAATTCCTTAGCAATCTTCTAAGAATCAAATAACTACTAATGGTCCCTACTTTGATTTACTGATTCCATGGAACATATTAAGAAATTTGTTCAAAAGTATGAATGACTAAGTGGAATTACTTCTGTTACCAAAGCAACATTCAGAAACAAAAGTACACTCCTCCAAGATTAGAGAATGAAAGTGAACATGAAAGTGGAAGTGTTAAAATACAGTTAATATTTCTAAGTCTACTACTGGTATTAGACACTGATAAGATAAGGAGCTATGGAATCGTGTTACAGTGCCCAGTTTTAAATTTATAAGACAACTTCTACTGTGCCTTCAGTCAAAAAGAAAATCTGCAATGCTTTTATGAAACAGTAACCATTTTAGTTTTGTGCTTGTGAGGGGAAAAAAATAAAATCAAGCTAATTGTAATAAAGACTTAATATTGGCAAGAGGACATAAAAAAAACCATGAACATGCATGTTTTGGTCTTAACAATTGGTTTCACCTTTCTTCATTTTCAAGTCGTTCTTCCAGCTCTGTGATCCTTGCTTCCATTTGAGCAACAAGTCCCTCTTTACTGGACCGGTAAGAACCCTCCAGGTGAAGGATTCTGCTCTTCAGGTCTTTGTTCTAGAGTTGGAACACACTTGATTACCACTTACATGCTCAAATTAACACATATCAGCTTAGCCCAAAATAATTTCTCCAGGAAAACATAAAGTGATCACTATATTTTTAGTTCAGTAAATGTGGAAAAAAGATGTGAGATTTTACAGTTTACTACAAACAGATTTTCTATTACTGTGCCTTATTAAAAAGAATTTAGTGTTCAGCTTCAGTTAAATTTTAGAATTAAATGGAGCCTTGAATTTCACAGAGTTGCAAGCCTCTTCTAACAGTATTTTTTAATATGTCAATTTTTTTTTCAAACAGTCTGTCAGATCTGTCTTAAACTCCACACAATTCTTTTGTCAAATTCTGTGTTCTTCTCCTGCAACTCCCTGGTTTATGGCTAAAGCAGACAAAGAAATTACATCCAATATCATTTTACTCTATCAAAGCTCTTACTGAGTTTCCCCCTCCCTTTCTTAACTACCCAGTGCTACACCTACTACATAAATAGTTTGAAAAAGATTTGTAAAAGCAGAGTTTTTTGCTCAGTTCACACTTCCATTTTTCTGAGGCCTGGTAATTTAGATTTTCAATGGGGACCTAATGAAAGAGTTGCCAGGAAAAAAAACTCAAACAAACAAAAAAATAATTACATGAGAAACAGAAAATAAAGCTTTTTGTTACAGAACTTCAAACCATGAATTCAGGTCTGAAAACACTGAAAAACAGAAAAGCCAGAACTAAAGTATAAGAATGTACACAGTATATACCAGTAGGTGGCATTCTTTTTTCTCAAAAGATTAAGATGAGATTAATTTCACATAATGTAAAGCACCAAATTAGGTGTGTGGTACAAACATGTTCTCTAAATTCCCATTACAATCTGTTTTACCTTCTTGTGGTTGTCAATAATACTGTGACTTGCTAAGATAGCTTTCCTCTGGATCTCAGCTAAGGGCCATGATAGCAATCTTACTTTCAAAGATCACTGAGCTGCAGAAAACTTATTTACTGTTATAGAAGAAAACACTCAACTAAAATCACAACTGCTTCAACTTGTATCTTCAGCAGTGTTCCTGAAACACTGTTAAGACTTTAATGAAGGAGCTCCTCTGAAAGCACTCAAAGCATTTACAGATATAGTCACCTGTCTTTCCAAGGAAATTTTGTCACACTCCAAATCTTGCTTTATAGCTCTTTCCTGCAGTAGCTCTGTCCTCATTTGTTCAATCTATAATAGAAAGAAAAGCGAGATTTCAACGAAAGATTTCATTTACATTTGTCTATATGATACTTTGTGTATGTATATATATAAAAAGTAGATATACCTCTGCACTGAGAAGAAATGCCCTTTCTCAGAACTCAAGACATCCACATGATTTCAGATGAGCTTTACAGTTACAATCTTGAACAAAATTTTCCACTTCAGGAAGTTGATATTATTCCCAGTACTTACCCTAGGCATTTTACACCCACACTGGATACTGCTGATGTTCAATAGAAGGAACTGAACTCTAAACTGCTGCATGAGAGATACAGCATGTGGCAAGATAGGGTTCTGCATCACATCAGGCTTCAAACACCTCTGACAAGTGTCTTTTTCATACTTAAATCTGGACTTCTGAAATGACACCTTACCTTTAAGCTGTTGACTAGTCTAAATAAAAGTTTCACTTTATTAAACACAAAAATCTTGTAGCTGCAGAGAAGTGCCTAGAACTCAGTGAAACCCTCTACAGACAATTGCAGTTTTCTGTATGAATAAGAACAGTAAAATCTTTTTCAACAGACTCTGCTGCATAATGGACATGAGCATTTCTCCCCTCCTCTAGTCAGTGTTATGTCTGTCATGCCGGAAGCACCAGCTTCTAGGTTTGGGGAGGGGATGCTTTTGCTTGTCTTGTTAAAAGACAACTTTTGCTCCAGTTTCTGTAAATATTTCAGTTGCATACTCAATAACCACAAGAAAGATACACTGTCCATGTGTAAGATGTTAAAAACTACCTGATCAATCCAGAGTCAATGTAAGAATGCAGCATGAGTTTGTTTCATCTCACTATTGGACTTGATTGGAAAAAAAATATTAAATTTGAGGCTCAAAGAGAAACTCTGAACTGCCCAACAGCTGCTACTGAAATTTTGGGGCTAAAGGACAAAGTCTGTAGTGCTGAAATACTTCTGTTGCCTCTCCTTCCTGCTGAGACCCTCAAGTCTTCACAAATGCCTTTGCAGGCACAGCAAATGTTACCACAGTATTTGTGCCATTTCCTGCACAGTGTTTATGATGATGAACCACCTGGGGAACACAGTGAACATCTCTGCCAATCACTGTACCTGCAAAAACACTGATAAAGATTGCAGTGGCCGCAGCATTCTTCCCTGCTCTACACCAGTTCCACATGAACTTGCACAAACACACCATCCCACGAGGCAGCTCTAAGTTACAGATTTATCTCAGTAAAGGTCTTTCCAAAGTCACTGGGAATTCTTGCATGAAAAAAAAAAACCAAAAGCAATGCTAAGAATGTAAAGGTCAAAAAAGCACAGCAAATGAAAATTTACCTTAGGCCTTTTTCTTAACCACATTATCATATTAAAAGTTATATTTTTAGTTAATCACATGTTTAAAGGAAACCATTTACACTGTTTCTGTAGCTTTGAAATTAATATATGAATACAAACCAGGGTAGCAATGCATGCGGTTGCATTTGTTATGTCACACTATGGTTTCTGAAAACTAAGGTCAGAACAACTACTAGAATGCAAATGTCAGCACGTGGCTGTGTTCTCAACTGCCAGGTAATTTCTCAAAAGCTCTCAATGGCACATAGAAGGCAAATAATCGAAAAGTTTTATACATTACACAGTAAAATATTATTTTATATGTTAAAATATTTTATAGACGCAAATTAAAATCATGCATTCGTACAATGGCTGCATTTATTCATTAAATAGGTGACAAAATTTATAATGTGAGGGATTACCTAGAATTTATTCTGCTGTAATTGCTTTAGCCATCAAGACAGACACGGAAAGAAATAAAGCAAAATTTGTGGTAAAATGAATGACTAATTAAAAATGTAACTGCTAACTGAAGAAAGGCTTTTTGTTTTATGTAGGAACTTGCTTAATGGACCACTCCAAAGTTCCACTGTGCTCTTACTGTGCTCAAAGGCTGTGACAAATTTGTGCAACCTTCCCAAGATTCAAATTAAGGAATTATTTAGAGGACAATTATTATATTTCCAAGATAACTGCTACAGTTGTTGGACACCTCTTGGTAAAAGCAACCTCACAGAACAAGAGGAGAAAGAGAGAAAGTGCTGTATCTGATTAGGATCAGACAGCTACGTGCAAATATATACAGGAGGTTGTAAAAAGAGGAGGACAGCAGGACACAATTCTTGCTGGAGGAGATACAAACTGTTTTCACTTATCTCCTCACATTTTTTCAATAGTAGACTCATAATTAACAGGCACAAAGTAAAAAAAAAGGCAGCTGTCTGCCAAAATGTGCTCAGTTTCGCTTATTTCCCAGCAGTAAGAAAGCACACTGCTTTCACAGTACATATTCCATGTACATCCCATTGGAACTTTGCTTCACATTCTACCTTTCCTATATCTAATATAGTTTAATTATGTTAAAAGAATAAACTACTTCTGCAGCTTAAATTATCACAGCTGGATTTGAAGAATGCTAACAACAAAAAAATGAGAAAAACAGATTTTACAAAGCTTTATCAGACATACCAGCATTTTGTGCCAGCTTTAGGATTAGAAGCAGCTGTAGAGTTCATTATTAGTGAAATCATTTGATTTCTAATAATGTTTTAGATGCTGCCACTATTGTTTATCATCTTGCACTAGGTTTACAGCCTATATTTCTTAATTCCTAAGTAAAGTATATACATATACATATATACATATATATGTGTGTGCGCCTATATATACACCTACATACACAATTTCCCAGTATGGGACTAAAAACCCCAATGTTTAACAAACAAGTTAAAGCCAAACAACCCCCTTTGATACTACATAATTGAAAAGCAGCGTTCAGATCCATATTTTCATTTGTTTGCTTCCCACACCTGGAGCCAGCTAAAAAGCAGGTATACAGCTACCCACTGGGAACACTTCGCCAAAAGGAAGTGAAGGATGCAGTCAGTGCAATTTTATCCTTTTTTATTTATTCTAAAATCATCATGAAAACTAATTAGTCCCTTTTTCACACTTATTGGAAACAACTCTGACATTTAATAGAGACTCATGTTTGCATTTTCACAGAATACAAGAATTGATGAGGGAATGTTAAGCACTTTCCAATTATGTTAGCAAATGGCAAGAGGTACTTCATTTTACTTGTTTATAGGAAAAAAATCCATCGTGTGTCCTGTCCCTGCTCACTTTAGACTCAAGCTTTCCATATGTGTGTCTGTGTTGACCATTTTGGTCTTTCTACAGTTACTAATACCTTATAATTTTAAAACTAACAGGATATGACCCACTTTTCCCTGTTTCCACTTTGCTGTGGTACCTCCTGAGAAGGCAGAGGAGGTGAGAACAGTGTCTCATGCAGCCATCCGGATTCAAAAGGGTGTTTAAATTTAAAAAGAGCAACATTGTGTGGTAAATGAAATGTGAACTGCTTAGTCCTGCCAATGTTTATTCGAACATTCAGCTTTATGGAAAATAAAGAGGTTGTATAACTTTTTTTTACTGGAAATTTGAGTATTATAGTTCATTATTGGGATGTTAACAATAGCACATTAATAATAATTTTTAAAACGTACAGAAATACAGATATTACCAAAACAAATCCATTATAATTTCTCATGTCATTATAAATGCTTAGCAGACCCTGAAATACTCTTTAGTAATTTGACTACTTAGTCATTCTGGCATAAAATCAAAACAAAGCAACCTTTGTAACTCATGTGTGAAATGAGAAACTCCAGACCTCAAAATAAACACATTTTTTACCCATTATGTAACATTTTGGTCACCAAACTGTATTATTGGTTTCCATTCAGTTAGCAAATTAACTTACTATAGTTATAATAAGTGGTAACTAAAGTTCTTTTACTCCAAGTTTACAACACAGGCACAGACTCCAGTATTGAAGGCTTCCTGATTTAACAATAGCATAACCCCAGATTATTATGGGTCCTTTACATTCTGTTCCACCCACTGACTCGGGGTCTGTACAATAGCAGTGGAACAAGAGCGAAAAGTCTGTGTTAGAGTCAAACAGAATTAGAGTCCAAACAAAGCAGTGATGGTGCCCTGGTGTTCTAGGATGTGCGAAAGAAAGCTGAGCTCTAACTCACTTTAAACTCTCCAGCTGCCTCAGTGGAACACAAAATTGCATCAAAAAGACACAGAAACGAAGATTTTCCTTTCTGTTCTCTCTCTGAAGCTAAAGCTATTCAAAAGAATATTCAAATTCAAAAGAAGGTTTTTTTCTGGAGAGAGAAATGAAAACAGACTACTGTGGGTTGTACCTCAATGCTAACTGTCTCCTGGACTTCTAGGAAATTACTATGAGCTCTAGCACTTCATGGAGAGTTACATGAATGCTACTGATGCTCTGGCTACTTTTGCAGTAATCAGGCCCTATACTCTTCTGGTTTATTATAAATTTTTGTTACAGGACCTGTAATTTCCTATGTCAGTTCTTTCAGAAATCTCAAATAATACTATTAAGGCCTCTTAATGAACTCCTAATTCTCTTAACACTTGCTAATTTCCAACTCAAAGGTCTCCTTTGCAATACACTCATTCTACTTCACCACACCTGCACATTCAATGGCCTTAAGGACCAGTCTTCTGTCCTTGTGGACAGAAGCAAAATATTTCTTTATTTTAATATAAAGCAATATATACATATTTAAGGGCATAGCTGGAGTACTTTTTATCTTGATTGAGACCTCATCATACAATCTCCACAACTTCTCCACTTATACAGTCAAAATCCTTCTTATTACTTGTTTGAATTACTTTGATAGGTCTCACTTAGCAACTATCACTTTATCTTCACATTTTCTGCCCTATGAGACACCACCTCATTAATAAATCCTTCTTTCCCCCTTTCTGGGCTATCGAATGTAACATTTCTGGAACAAAAGGCTGATGTTTTTACGTGGAAAATGCTTTCCAACTGTTTTACCTCTGACATACCTTAATCAGTTTTTACAGTTGTAATGAAAACAAAGTTCTCTCTCTGTTGAAAATGGCCAGTATCCTCAGTTCAGTTGATTCCACTCATTAATTCCACAGTTCCCTAAGTTCCTCCTCCTTTTTTGAAATTAAGACTCCATTATGCTGAAATTGTGATCCTAATAACACTTTTTCATAGAACCACTACAGAAAAGTTGGAAACTTGTTTAAGTACCTGTTCTCTGCATCTGCTGATCCTCTCAGACAACAAATCTGAATTAGTCTTTTCTTCATCAAGCTCAAGTTCCAGGTGAGACAGCTTGTCCTAAGTGGAACAAAGAAAAGTAATTTCAACATACTACTTCCCATCCTCTTCAGATTGCTATTCCTTAAACTTCAGGACTCAAACTGTCTGAAAGACTAGGCCTGAAAACTGAAATACCTCTTAAAAACATGTGCAGAATCTACCAAAAAGGATGGCAGGTAGATAAGCTTTTAAAGTGAATTTGTTTGTCTGACAGATGTAAGATGGACGTTTTGCTTCCTTTTTTTGATCACTCCTACCAACTTCAAGAAAATAAGAGAAATTCTGCAATGTTTCTAGAGACTGTTTCTGATTGTCTAAATTACATTATACATTTGGAAGACAATGTCCTCTTCATATGAGTGCAATGCTATAAAGGTGTTTGTTTATGGAAGTCAAATGACAGCCTAGTTGAAGGGAACAGTTCTGAAGCTGACCCTGTAACAAGGTGGTCAAAATCACAATGATATCCAGACTCCTGAAATGAACTGATATCAAATGCTAAATAGAACTTACACTTCAAAATACTTTTAAAGTTCTCAGTGATTGGCCTACAAATTAAATTAATGAAAATTTGCCTGACAAACTCTAGATAAAATTTATTAAAAAGAAGTCAATTAAAATGATGAAAAAACAGTTGTAATTTAGAACACACCATGCTACAATAGATATGCTAACAGATCACCTTTAGAATATTCCAGAATGGCTTTTCAACAACATTAAGGTATTTTGACTCTTCCCTGGTAGCATCCATGTGAAATACCAGTACTATTTTAATCTCTCCAAATAAGAAACAAACCCTTAAGAAGGTCTTTTACCTCCATTAATTTGATTTGTCTTGCCCGATCGTCTTTTAAGTGGTTTTTGGCTTCCAGTTCATACTCCAAGCTTTTCACAGTCTGTTCCAGCAACTGAGTTTTTGTTATTGCCTCATCCTGAGCTCTCTGGTGGTCCCTCAAGTTTTCTTCCATAAGACGCATCTGAAAGAGATTATTTTCATGTATTTTAGACTGCACTTTCTATAAATGAGTGATGTCAGTCGAGGGGACGTCCTGCACAAACTACACACCTGGAAGCTTGACAGGAATTGCATTGAGTTCTGGGCTTTTCACAGTAATTTTTGTTTTATCCATATGATGGCACCAAGAAAATAAACTTGGATGAAACATCAGCTCTAAAGAGATGCTTCACACCACAGGTTTTACACTGATAATTCTCCACAGTGGTTTCCTTAAAATTTATTTGTTTTTATCAAGTTACAGCAAGCCAAAATGTTGACAGTTTTCTAACTGGTTATTTGGAACTTTTTCAGTATTATTCTTTTCCTTTTCAGACTCCCAATACTTTAGCTTTTAAATAGCTGCATAGCTTGTATATATGCTTGATGCACTTTGATGACATCATTTTACTAATAACATAATTGTTTTTATATATGTGTGTGTGTATATATATATATATGTATTAGTATAGCTATTAGATAGAGTGAGGCTATCTGCTGAAGAGAAAAATATCCTGTTCAACAACAGCATGTCCTCAGTAAAATTATCCAAAACCTTCATGGTACTTTAAAAAAATATATATTGAGTGAGAGGGAGTTTAAGTGAAACCATGAGCACTCCTTGCACATGTAACTTGTAACATGTATATAACACAGGATGAGAGCTTATTTTTTTTTTCAACACACAGTTTTCCATTTTCTTCCTTTGTCAGTGATTTTTTTAGTGATGAAGTTAAAATACCGTGATAGTGAATATTTACAAAGTTTGCTACCTATTACCAACTCCTGATGACATGGTGAACATCTAGTGAAGTGCAGAGATCTGCACATGAACAGCCTTTCATGGGCACTTCATGTTTCAGAACAACAAGGGACTGTTAACTTTCCAGATAGGTATCTTTTATGTATCCATTGAGAACTTGAAAGAGATGCAATGAAGAACTCCCTTATTGCCTTGCAAGACTCTCACTCATCATTTTTCTGCTGGAACAAGATGAAACTCATGTTGCCATGATCAATACAATCTTTGGCTTTTGATGAGACCCTTGAAAAGCAAGTTCTGTGCACTGGGAGACCTCCCCAAGAGGATTCTGACAGACAACAGACTTTCCACAGAATGGATGGACTATCTATTTGTATTTCTTCTTAAACACAAAGGAGGAAGTGATAATAAAGACTTTCAATTGTCCTGAATATTTAGTCTCCTAGAAAGTCTGCTGTTTAACCTGCCTGTTTTCAGATTTTATTTCCTCTCTTGCAGCTAGTTGCCATACTACATTTTTAAAGTCCTAGGTTTTTAAATATTTCCTCATGGAGATGTAGAATTCCACAACTAGTAATATTTTGTCCATTATGTAGTGTTTGGATTATCTTTTTGTCAAACAATGAAGTTTTTTTTCGTTCATTAATTTTTTCTCCGTATTTTTTCTGTAGTTGCAATAGCTAACACTAGAAGTATTCCTCATAATAACTGTAAACACTGTGTTTACACTTTGTTTTACATATTTAATGTTTGTATTGATGTACCTTTTTACATATATTTATTCAACTCATGAGCTACACTCTCAATGTCACCATTTTATCTTTCATTGTTTGTTATGAGTCTTCATTCCTTTAAAAAGCCTCTCCATCCCTGAATGAAATAAATATATAAGGAAGACAGAACAATAAACAGGAACAATTATTTCTTCTGTTGGTGTCCTTTTAAACTGAATTGAAAATAATTTTTTAAGGAGAAAGGGCAATGTAATAGAAGTTCTAAACTGGAAAAACCAAACTATTAAAATATTCCACATACAAAAAATACCTGTGACTAAAATATTCTCCAGTTTTCCCAACTGCATATTTTTAGAAGACTGGATTGCCTTACTGGCAAAATTTACATATTAAGAGGCAGACACTTCCTGACTGTGGCTGATTCTTGGCTGCACAGACACCTGCACAGACACCTTTGTCATTTAAATCTGCAACTTGGCTCATATGCAAGAAGAGAAGAATATATGTCAGCTCCTCTAGACCCAGTATTTGGTTTTGTTGTTTGTGTTTGCTGAGGGTTTTTTTCCCCTAAATAATTGCTGGGGGTTTTTTTCCTAATTCAAAAACACGTCTACATTCCTTCAGTAGCAGGCATTAAAGAGCAGCAGATCATCAATGGAATCCTTGTCATACCACTTAAGACACACTCATTTGGCAGACACTGCACAGATCTGCCACGACCAGGAAAGCCCATTTCCCTGGCAGCAAAAACACACTGATCACCTTCATGAACAACGAAACTCAAGAGCACTGACTGAGATCCTGTCTCATGATTAAGTGCACAAAAGCATGATAGTAAACACTCATCTTGAAAACTATCTGAACTGTATTCTAGGCCAAAGGTTAGAATTTGTCACTGAACTTATGGGTCGTTACCTCGTCTTGCATCCTGATGGTCATCAGACGTGATTTTTCTACCTCCAGGTTCTTCTCCTTCAATTGCCTCTGCAGATCTGCAAATTCCCTGCGATTTTTCTCCTTGTATTCATCAAGCTGGCTCTGAAGCTCCAGAGCTGATGTTCTTGAGATCTCTACCATTTCAGACATCTGGAGAAAAAAAGTACATATAATTTCTTTTCCTAATGTAGTGTTATAAAAGGTTCTATCATGTTTAATACACCAAAACGTTCTTTTCTCCAGTTTCAACATTCAGCTCAGTTTTCAGACAGAAAAAACATTAATTATTATATATTTTCCTAAATGAATGAATTTCTATGCAGAAGTGTGTAAACACAAAAGCAGAAAGGTTATTTTCTAATAGTATGTGTGGCAAGACTGTTCTCTTTCTGTCTGGCAGCAGTTCTTCCAGCTGAGTGATGCAATGAACTGCATGGCCACACTTCAGTGAGTCAGTATTAGTTGCAGGTTTACACACACAGCACAGTAGGTTTGATGCAGCAGCATTTTGAGAATCAGCTGTAAAACTGAAATATCAGTGACATTAGAACTGATCTGAGACCTTGTTTAAACTGAACTAGTTTACAATGCTATTTTGAGATAGTGGTGTTCCAATCACTGTTCCAGCCCTGAAAATTTTTATTGAGAGTCTCTGGGTTAAAGAGACTAATAGTAAACTTTGCATTTCACCTTCTTTTGTACATTTCCAAATAAATAATTCTTTACAATTTGTCAGTTCATTTGCTTCTGTCTGTTAGACATTCAGCTTCCTGCAGCCTCTCTGGAGTGAACTCCTACCTCCTCCTGTAACTTCTCAACAGTCTTGTTTAGTTGCCATCGTTCATTCTCCATTTCATTCTTTATCTGCTGTAACTGTTCCTTCTGCTGAGTTTCATCCTTTAACTGCTGAGTTAACTGTTGCCTTTCCTGTGAAATACAACGGGTGTTCTCCTGCAGGAAAATAAAAACACATATAATGAAATGCAGACCCTCTGTAGATTCCTTAAGGGAATTTTACTTAACACTCAGTGCAGCAGTAATACCAGCAGGCTGCTGTGACATTAAGACAGATTTAAGGGTTTTGGGTTTTTTTTTTTAAAGTTTATGGAGTTACAGTTTGCTAGTCAGTATTTATTATTTTAGTGATGCAGTGCTTTATCCCTCCTATAAATCCCTTAAACACTGTTGCAACATTTGTAGGACCAATTTCATTATTCTGTTACATGCAAAGCATACATTCCTCTGCAGCTGCACACCAGCCAGGAAATCCCACCTCCTGTACAAGACCCAATATCCACTCCAAGTTTCACATTTTCCTATATGCTCCCTGAAAAGTTCTCTCAATAACCACCTTTTTTTTCCAAGTGAAAACAAACAATCAAAAAAATCCCAACCACACACCTCCAAAACCCCCACAACAACAACAAAAGCCCAAATCTGTTCCTATGGTGAGTGAGAAATAACTATTGGTGTTTTTCCCCATTGCTGTGCCTCTGTAGCACCCAGAAACCTTTATCAAGATGATGCTGCGAAAAGAGAAAACTTTGCAGCTCTCAGCACACAAATCCCCCTCCTGAGAGAACTTTTGCAGTTAATGTTCAAACCAGACCTAAATGTTGTGGATTAAATTTTTAATGGCCTGAAGAGTATCCAATGTGCTCATCTACCAGGGGCTCCCAGTGTCTCTGTTGTCACAGGTGGGATGTCTGAGAACTTATCACCCTCCTACCTCTAAACACCATCCATCAGCAGAGTAACAGACTGTCACTAGTTCATTCCAACACAGGTACAATCACATGGTTCGTATGCACAGCTCTTCTTTTTGGAAAAGTGTCTAATAGCTAATTGTTCTCTTGGCTTGGTGACTTCTACGTGGTGGGAAATGGCCATTTTCTTACCCCAAAATTATGCATGAGCTCCTCCGAATCTATTTAAAAGGAGCCCATATTATGATAGTATTATTTAGCTAGTAACTATGCCCCAGAATGGCTTATTCTTCAAATAGTGAATTACCATTTAAAGCATAAAAAGCTCCTTGTTATTTTGCTAAAATCTAGCCAGCAGAAAACTTGATAACATAGGTAAAGGGTAAAAATATTCCTCATGAAAGCTGAGCATTGCAAAAGAAATTATCTTTGTTTTAATATAAATCCTTAATTACAACAGATACTACTTCATTCTTGTACTATTAGTCAGGGGGGATAACGTGTCCTATGTAGTTTCTCATCAACAATAATTTTCTTGGGCAACACAAATTAGGATATTGTATCGCCCTTTACTAGATCAGTTGATAAAAGAGAAAAATACTGATAAAATTAGCATTCCTACCTTAACTTTAATACTTGAGAAACACTAATACGTCAGGCTAGAAACAACTGAACTTCAACTTCCAGTGCTCTGCAACTCTCATTCTAATGCCTACCATTATTTACCACAATGAAAACAGAAATTCCATGTTCTTCCACCCATGGAAAGGATCCCATGTTCTGAACGTTTAATTTTAAAAGCACAGATCTGCCATCAATAATGTTGGTTTAATTGATATTTTTTAAAGATATTACAATACCATATAAAAATAACAGTACCATGCTATGGTCAAGGGGCATAATAATTATTTCCTTTCCCAAGAGAGTTCTCAAGAAACTCAGAAAGTCTTCTCAATGGTGCAAATTGTTAAGATGCATTTCATTTCATGAGACACTGCACTACATAGAGGAGGTTACCCTAACCAGAAGTTATAACAACACGGAACACTACAAAAATGCTCCTGTCTTGACCACCCCTAAGGAAAATTTCAGGATAAAGCACTACTACAAACTGGTTGTAGGAATGAAGTGCACACTAGTTTTAACTTTTCTGAAAAGAAATCTGGAATGGAGGAGGAATAGATTTGGTCACGTTTAACTGTTACAGTTCTATTTGTATCGTCAGTCTTTCTTATGCTAATCCACCATTAAAAGTAATTTGTGTTATGTAAAAAGCAAGATGGGACAGTTAGGAATTAAATTTCCACTGTGATAAACACTATTATTGTGCCAAAATTTGTCGTCTAAATTGTCAGTGGCAACACAAGGCCAAATCAACCTACTGCACAACATTACTCATTAGAACAGGCAAACTCTAAAGACAGAAAGGCTGAATTGTTCTAAACAAAAGGGACCACTGATTACATCCTGAAGTCCATTAGTGCTCATATCCGGTGCACAAGAGTGTAGAATCAGAAAGAGGATTAAATTTAGTCTTTCCTACTTTAGATGTAAGCTGTGAATAAAATGGCAAGACTGACTCTTCTATCTGTCACCTTTCCCAGAATCCCTTAATTTGGAGACCCTGCCTGGAGGCAGCATTCTTTGGCACGATGCCCTGAAGGATGCATAAAAACAGAAAGGAAAGAACACACTTCTCAAGCACCTTGACCCAAAGCTAATCAAGATGCAGCAGATGCATATGGTGCATTGATTCATGTTCCACAGGAAGGGTAAGTCAGACTGTGACAGAAGGGAAGTATGCTCAGTGCAGGGCACTGAAGAGCAATGGGCCACCTAAAAGGGTTGTGTAACTATCAGCAATACATACAAGCAAATGAGGAGTTTTAGGGAGGTAGAACAGATAAACAAATTTTAAGTGCAAAAAAAAAACCAAAACAAACCAACAAAACCCTGACCAAAAGCCTCAGATAAAATACTTCTTCGTGTAGTTACAAGGAACATCAGCTTTAAAACATCATTTTGTAGAAACAAAACTTAGTTGCCTATATTATTAAAATCTTATATTTCTGAAGCACATTCCATTTTAAAGACATAGGAGTATTTTCTTTTTTTTTCTTTTTTTTTTTTTACCATAATTAACTGAACCATGAGAACATGCTAGTTAACACAGTCTTCCCCCTTGGTTTTTAGTCCACAAAGTACACTTCAAACAGAATGAGACTTACCTCTGTAGAAAGCAACAGTGACTCAGGTAAACAAACAGGAAATTTAAAATTTAAATATTCCAAATTGTTCCTGTTCTTACCTGCAGATCTTCTAGTTGGCTTTCCAAAGCTGATTTTAACACTACCAATTCCTTTGCCTCCTTCTCAGCACGTTTCAAAGCTTCTTCCAATTGTTGCTTCTCTTCCTGTAATGATTCAATTTGATACATTCAGAAATAGTGACAAGTAAATTTAGCTATTAAGTCTCTTCACTATGGCCTATCACTGATCTCCCCAGTTACAAGCTGTGACTTGTTTTTAATCTGGTTTGCACTGGGGAAATCTTTCCTATACACGTCAGCAAACTGCATCCTGCTTCTTAGAACCTGCTGGTTTCCTTCACCCTTCCTGATAGCATTATCCGTCCTCCTGTGTCAGTTCTTACTCTGCAATGAACCCACTGTAAACAGGAAGAAGACTACTGAAGGGGCTTGTTTTCTTAACTTACCTCATATGTCTTTAATTTTTCCTTCACTGAGTTTTCTTCTCCTTTCATATTATCAATTTGTTTGTGCAGCTCCTCAATTTTACTCTCTAACTCAGTAACTCTTCTCTTCAGCTGTTTGTTTTCCTCAGTCAGCTCCTTGACTCGATTTTCTATACTATTTCTCTCCTCTTGTGCTGCATTTCTTTCACTTTCAAGGACAGTAGCACTCTAGGGAAAACAAATTATGTCATGTTGGAAAAAAAAAAAAAAGTAAAAGCTGGTGCTGTTTTCCAACAGAAGTTTCATAAGGCATCACAGCAAATATAGCTAAAATGTAACATTAAATATCAATGAAGTATATACAACATCATTATCAAATCCCATTGTCAGCTATTTCCAAGTGATCTAAAAAACTTAAGACACCAAAAGCCTATTTATCAAGAGTGTCTTCCACAGCAACACAAAATTTAGGCAGTCTCACCCCACTGCTGATTCAAGAACTAACATACAACACACATACAACACTCCATGCAGCTTTGTGGGGCTGCAGAGGAAATGACAATAAATATAAAGAAGTTTTGATATTGAAAAAAAAGGGGGGAAAAAAGAAAAAAGGAGGGGGGCGCTACTGGAATAAAAAGCCCCAATGGATTTCAAAGCATGGTCCCAAGAAGGAGCTGTGCCAGCACAGAAGAGCAGTAGAGACTGGAAGTACCTCAGAGTGGTACTGGTACAGTTCTACCTGCAGATGAGACAGCCCATGCCTGGGGCTGTGCTTAGTCAGCACTTCTGCTTGGGTTTCAGTTCCTGCCCGAGGGTGGAAGGAGTTCAACTTGGATTCAAAAAGATACACCTTGCGTTTTTCAGAAACTCTAATCAATATATAGCACAAACATAAATTATAATAAAATTATAATAAACTACTCACCACAATTTAGCACATGTGGCAATAGATCTTTAAGTGTTTTATTCAGGGTAACTGCCTGCATCTTGTAACTTTTCAGAGCTAATAACCACCTTACCACTTACCCTCTAAACACCCTACCATTTACTGTGGAAACCATGAGTGGAAGTTTGTGTCTATATTGTTACACTCTCTATACTGTTATAACACAGACCGGGTATGTATTTACAAACACATGGGGTAAAGAGCTGGAAGGATTTAATCTTTGCTCTTCACTAACTTCTCATTCAGAATCCCGTCCAAAGAAAATAGAAGAACTCAGGATATAATTGAGGTTCTTGCTCCTGGGCATTCAGGGTCTGATACAAAGCAATGCTCTGTACAAAGATCTGCTTCTCCTGTGCAGGCCCACTGCTTTTTGTACAAAGACCTTAAACAATAGTAAGAACACCAGAACAGACTCAGGCTAGACCAGTATCCTCTCTTGTGGCCACAGCTGATGTTTAAAGGCAAAGACAGAAAGAACAACTATGGGACAAGCCTTTCCCCATGACACACTCTCAGCTCTCACTACTTCTCCTCCATGAATGTATCATCCATTCATTTCTCTAAGCTCTTTCAAATCCATTTACACCTTTGGCATCTACATTATCTGGTAACAATAGGTAATTGCACATTAACTACTGAAGTACAACAATTTTGCATGTGAAATAGTGTTTATCTGGGTGAAAACAAAAGAAATCCTACCAAACTGCTCTGTAAGAAACTGTTTCGTGAAATATTTTATAAAACCATGAAAATCACTTTTCGGTTACATTATTTTTGATTGTTGTTCCTGATTTTCCCTTCCCCATGCCCAAAAGGAATAGGCAAAGTTATATAAAAGGGTGTTTACAAAGAGTGCCCTCACTAGATTGTTTTCTAGTAAGCAACAGCTTTAAATCATGCAAATTAGTTTGATAAAGCGGTAACTCAGAAAAAAAAACACTCCGACTGTCTACAGGGTCAATGAACTTATTATACAAAAACTGGCAGCATAAGCAGGCTGACAAGTTTTGGTCTTTTGAAAACACTGAAAAAACTTGTTCTTCTAAGTACATGACTGGTTAAAAGCTCTGAAACAAATCTGTTGATGCTTTAAGGTTTCACATTCCGAAATTTCAATAGCATTTATATATTCCTTTAATTTTTGCTTTCTTCATGCAGCGAAGTTTTACTAATTAGCAAGCACTCCACCAGTGGCTCCTTTTAGTCTCATTTCCCTCTGCTGGAGCTGAGTGAAAGCAGCTGAGGCACTGCTGGGGAGTTCAGGGAAAGGAATGTTGATTTGTCTGTTCTTTTTCATCCAACCGCCTACTCGGGGCTGCACAGTGAGGGAGGATTGCAGCAGCCCCGCATGTACCTGAGCATTCCACTGCCTCACCTGCCCTGCTTTGCTCTGCTTTCTCAACACAGGAAGCACTGTTTCCTTAGAAGTGGATGCACACACACAAAAGCAAACAAGCTAACACCCACCCCCCAGATCTACATACATAAATATACACAGAAGTAGTATCCATCTCTATATATGATTTAATTTAAGAGGCTCAAAGTTAAGTTCAGACTGCATCGATGCTGTCACATCTAGAGATCTGCTCCTGCTTTTTGCTGTATCTTAGGATATAGAACCTAAAATGAAACTCAACTGTTACTTGCTCTCCTTTTCCACTGTGTATTTCACTAAGTTAGCAGTAAGTTAGGTGAATATATATAAGAGGTAGAGAGGTACAAAGAGCAAGTTGTGAGTACTACCTTTATTAACCTAATTTAAAATCCTGGAAATAAACTGGATATATAAGTAAAATCGGCCTAAAGTTCCAGCTGTTTGAGTGACCAGCACTTAACCAGCAGATCTTCACAGGTCCCTAATGACTTTGGCATCCTTACAAGGGTTGCACCTTCCCATGAATGATCTGTTCCAAACAAATTTTCCAACATAGTAAGTAAAAAAATTCATTTCTTTTACCTGAAAGAGGTAAGTCTCAAAAAATACCAACAATAAATACATACACTCACACATACTTTTTTGAGATGGTAGAAAAACCTCTGTTGGTATATATGGGGAGCTGTGCTGTATTGTAGTTGGAGAGTGAGCATTTTTCCTACTTCTGGGGGGAGAGTAGAAAAATTTTCTTCACAAGTGCTTTCACTGTACACTATTGTTCCAACATCTTTTCAACTTGTTTCAGATACGACTGAAAAGAAACACAGGAGTATCTATCCTATCAGTTTACCTTACCCAACTGTACTGTACACTTGAAGTACGAAAGATCACCCTGAGGATATTGTTCAGGAGCATGATAAACAAAAAAAATACACCAGTATCTTCAATTTGATAGTAAAGTTTAAATAAAGTCAAGCCACACAAATACAATTTAGATGTTCTTTGTGTAGAAAAAGTACACGTAGCGTCACTTCTCCAAAAGAGTCAAATTACACTGCTGAGTCTAGATTGAGAAAAGCTTATGTTCATTTTTCCCCAGTGTGCTGAGAATTTCATGCAGAATTTTCCATTGGCATGCCATAGACATGCCAGCACATGCCATATCCTACAGCATATTGACACGGCAAGTTTGGGTATCAAAAGTCTCCACAGCTCTTCCCTTCTTGTATTCTCCACTGTTAGTCCTATTTGGCACCCCATGTTACCTTCTACCTCCCCTCCAGGCCTGCTCTTGGGAAGACAGGTGAGATAGGAAAGAGCCTGGGTGTCATTGGAGAGGACACACAAAGAAAACAAGCCCTGAAATGCACTTCTGACAGACCTTGTAGCAACACCATTAGGGGAGAACCTGGTGGAGAGAGATCCCTGTCCATATATTGAACAGTTACATAAGGGTCAGGTCAGCAGCCATCAAATCATAGGTGGACACTGATGAAGCAGAAAAGGCTTGTTGTGTCCTTTGCCCATGGAACCACACAGGCAGTGTGCCCAAGCAGGCCCACACAGCTAGAAGGCAGTATTACTCACACAGAGACCACAGGCTGGATTTACCACTCTGTCACTAGAGCTCACTCACTGTATTCTGCATGAAATATCCCTATTAAAGCATGGCTGTAGAAGATGTGAGAACCACTGCATTGAAATTACAGAGAAATTATTCTGTACACTGATAACGTTTGAATGGCAATTACTGCACTTCATAGGCTAAACCGAAGTGTGGGCAGCAAGCGCAGTTTAAGCTGCCCAGCAGCACAGCCCAGCAGAGTTGTGTCCTGCAGGATTGTAACAGCCAGCAGCAATCCTGCTCTGTCTGCATGGGCAGGGAGGCTGCCTTGAGAACTCAGGCACTGGCTCACAGTTCAAAAAAGGAGCTGAAGGCTGTTTGCAAAAGCATTCAGTTAGAGTGGGTTAGAGTGATGAGGATGAAAGCAGAAGGATAACCGACCACGAGGAAAAAACCAGACAGAGAGAACACACATGCAGAGATTGTGCTGTGGATCCACATCCCTCAGTCCACAGGAGACTTACCTGTAATGGTGCTGAACATAAACAACATGAGTTAACCAAAGGTCCTTAATGACACTACACCAATTAATGACTCCTGTCAGTGCTCATTCATAAATCCTTAACACTTACTTATTTGGGGACATTGGAAAAGTTTTAGCAAATATTTTAACTAAGTTTATACAATTTAACCCACAGTAACAGAGCTGGGTGAAGGTCACAAAGTAATGATTGATGTTGAATATGAAACATTAACAAACATTGTTAATATAAAAACTTCAGAGAATTGTGGATCAACTTCTTCACAGAGTTTAAGAGATTATGAACATAAACACATAACAGAGCACATATCAGACAAAACTAGTTAAACAGGATTCTTGACAACAGAACCTGGAATGAAGTGCTGTATATTCAGACTTATTTGCCATACAGAAGAAAAAAACCAAAACCAACCAACAAACAAACAAAAACCCCCCAAACTAAAACAAAACAAAGCCAACCAAACAAAACAAACAAAAAAAAAACAACGTGCAAAAAACCCAATCTTCTTGAAAAACAGGAGAAGAGGGAGGGAATTGTATCAAACATTGAAGTGAGCTCTTTGGATCTTAAAATTAACATAACTAAATTTCAATATTGCAGTTTCTTCCCTATGATACATAAAACATGCTTATTTCTTTTTACTCCCACTTACTAGTTGTGACAGCATGTTTTAGTAAACCAACTTTTTATTATTACTGTTTACTGCATTGCATTACAGAATTATATTTATGTAAGGTAAATACCCTATAGCATTTTTCTCGTGTTTATTTGCATTTGCTTTGTCTTTCCTTTCAG